GCAAAATAATATATCCCCAAAATCCTAATAATTTAAATAATGTTAGTATCTACTTGTTTTGTTTTCGCTTGCTCTTTTTATTTTTTTTTAACTTTTAATTTCTTTTTTTTATTTAGCTTAATAAACATGTCAATTGAAGACGGAAAATACATCCAACAAAATACTCCCCCACCACCAAAAATTGCAAACCCTGGCCCTCTTGGTCTTAGTGGTTTCGCTTTAACCACATTCGTTCTTTCAGTCCATAACGCTGGCTCCCCCACTGTCCAGAGCCCAAGTATCACTCTTGGTTTGGCCTTGTTCTATGGAGGTCTCGTACAGCTTTTGGCTGGCATGTGGGAATTCAAGACTGGCAACACCTTTGGTGCTACTGCCTTCTCTTCATATGGTGGTTTCTGGATGTCGTTCGCTATCATCATATTCCCAGGTTTAAGCGTTACTGCCGCCCCAAATTTCGAACAAGCTCTCGGCATCTACCTTATGGCTTGGACAATCTGTAAGCTTTTTTTTCGATAATCCCATTCAAAATTTATTCCAAAATTTATCCAAATTTTATTTTAATATATATTTACTTTGCTTTTTCAGTTACTTTTTTGTTATTCTTGGCCACTTTCCGTTCAACTGGTGGAATAATGGCTCTCTTCTTCTTCTTGACTCTCACTTTCTTGCTGCTTACTATTGGTGCCTTTACTACCGATACTTCTGTTACTCCCAAACCATTATCAGTCTCCACTAAAATCGGTGGTGTTCTCGGAATTATCACTGCGTTTATCGCTTGGTATAATGCACTTGCAGGTCTCATAACATATTTCACTCTTCCAACTTTCGACTTGTCCGGTAAACGCGATTAAACAAATTACACATAAGATAGAAAAGATGTTTCATTTTTAGACATCCCTTTTTTTTTCTTTTTTTTTTTTTTGGAGGGGCATAGTGATTATAAAACTTTTATTGAAATTAATAATGTTACAATATTTTCGCGATTCGCCTTTCACAACTTTGATATGTATAAATGAATCATTTGTAAATTAAGAAACAAATTTTTTTTTTCTCATAATACCTATAATAATACGTATCTTGTTAGCGTATCGTGTACGATATTAATGTTTTATTTTTGTATTAATAGCATAATATTTTCATTCTAATAAACTATTTTTCAGATCTTACGCGATAATTATTCTTTAACTTATTATTTCAATTTCTTATTTATTATTAATCTGCTACGTATCTATTATCTGCCATCTGTTATCTGCAATCTGTTATCTGTTATCTGCTTTCTGCTATATACGTACGTAGTCGCGAAATAACGCCCCGAAACGTTATTTAGGCCTCTCAATTTCCAAACAGCTAAGAATTAATTTTGCCAAATACAATAACGTCCTTGGGGCGTTATTTCTTTGAAAAGGGGTAGCAAATAAAATTACCCGTTCCTGTTCCTTGTCCTGAATTTTATGATCCGCTAGACTACATGCTAAATTTGGTTTAAAAAAGTCTATAAACGACAAAAAAAAAATTCCTATCGATTACAAAAATAAACTATACTAATTTTATTTTATCCTTTAATTTTTCAAATATATATAGCTAAGGATGTTTAGTACTACTATTTAGTTTGTTAATTTACATATTTATCTACACTAATAATAGTAAACTGCTGGTACATAACTATACGTAATTCAAAACTGGTGAGTTTTAAAAAATGCTTTTGTTAGACAAAATTAAAGTTATACAAAATTAATTGGTTCTCATAAGCCCAGTGTCGTAACTGGCTATTACTGTATCGGTATATAAGAAATTTTAATTTTTTCGAATGAGTCAATTTGAAAATTTCTTGTTTTGA